GACAGCATGCATTTTCAGAGTTTTACAGTGTATTTGCTGAGAGTAGCCGTTGCTAAATCATTTAATTTAACATAACTGCTCTTGGGATTAATCTGTTTTTGCAGTTTCCATATTACATTATGGGATGCCTGTAAAAGTTGAAGTAACCTTGTCAAATTTCCAGATGTCTTTTTTCTTTGTCATCTCAGGTAGGAGATGACAAAGCATATCTCCTCATGTTAACATTTCATGTCATTTTGCTTTCTTGTGCCTTCCTTGTTGTTGCAAAGGGTTTTAAATCCCTGGGACTGCTGGATGTGAAGGGTAATAGCCAATGGCTTGACATATATGTGGCAACAGGTAAAAACTGAATATCCCAGGGACTGATACTGGGGCCCATATTGTTCAATATCTTCATCCACAATGTGGACAAAAATGTGGGCAAAGATACAAAATGCACATTCTGCAAATCTGTTGATGACAGTAAATTAAGAGTGGCTGGCATACTGATTGACGGAGCTTCAGTCCAGACAGGTCTTGAAAACCTTGAGAGCTGAACCAACAGAAACTTCATTGAGTTTCTGCATCTGGGACAGGATAACCCCACGCATCAGTACAGGCTGGATACCACCTGTCTGGGTAGCAGCCCTTCTGGGAAGAACCTGGGAGGTGATAATGAACATCAGGTTGAACATGAGTCAACAGTTTGGTCTCATTATACTAAAGCAAAACTCACAGTTTTGTAGAAATGTGGCTGGCAGACTGAAGGAAGTTGTCATGCGCTTCTACTTGGTGCTGTCTACATCCAGGTTTGGGTCCTTCAGTTTCACGGAAATGCTGAGAAACTGGAAAGTTTTAGCTGAAAGCTACTGAGAGCTGAGGGCCTTGGAGCACATGACCTGTCAGAAGAGGCTGAGAGATATTACTTAGTTTTACCTAATCTGAAGAGGAGGTTAAAGGGTGGTTAGATAGCAGCCTACAACTGCTGAAGGACAGTAACAAAAATGATAGAGCCAAACTTTTCTTAGTAGTGCTGGGTAGAATAAAGAAGGTCAAGAACCACAAATTGTTGCTTGGCAGGTTCAAGTAGGATATTAAAAATCTTTTTGACTAGTGCAACACTGAAGCAGATTACCCAGAGGAGACATAAAATCTCTGTCCTTGGAGGTTTTCAAGACTTAGCTGGGGAGAGGCATAGCTGACTTCATCTAGTGTTGGCAATAGTCCTCTTTTAAGATGGAGGTTGGGCTAGAGACCTCCAGCGGGAGGGCTGTTGAAGGGAGATCTCAAGCAACAGTTTTGCAAGCCTGCACATTTCCATGTGTAAAATTTCAAGAAAATTTTGACATATTTAGAGAAGCTCAGTCTATTTGATTACCCACCTAAAGTTAAATTATTTCAATATTACCTGGGTGTGCCCAACTAGTAATTTCTGACTGGCAAACAAAGAAACAAATGATCGCAGAATTTAAACCATACTGCATAAAAAGTTAGCATTTTAAATTATTTGAAGAAGTTATCTCTTAATATGTGAAAAATTTAAACCCAAATTAGATGCCTTTCTAAAACATACAGTGAAATTACACAAGAAATTCTAGGACTACCATTTCTAGGATGTATTATGTGAGAAATGTCCTGTGCTATGCAGAAGTTCAGATTAGATGATCCTGGTGGTGCCATCTGTCTTCAAAAGTATGACTGAATTAATTCAGAGGCAAAACAGATCTCTGTTATGATTATGCTAGATGAGGATTGAAGTTATGGCATGTGTCATGACAATGATTTTTAAAGGATACAAAATCAGTCTAGACTTACTTAATGTCTTGATGGAACAGATTGACTGAAAATTTTTACTTACCTGAACTGGCAGCTCCACAAAATGTAGTCAAGATGCCAGCAGCATGCATGGGAGAAGAACTGAAAAATGCTTAATTAGAACATTTTCTATCCTGGTGACTAAAAGTCAAAATACAGTAGAAATGATTGACTGGGTAGAGAAGAAAAGAAAGAAGGAATATCCAGGTATGCTTCTGGACAGTTGGTGGTTCAGTTCACAACTAAATTGAACGTGTTGTCTGTCAACAAGATCTCATAATTGATGGATTTGACTGTCATAAAAGAGTGACCTAAAAGGCAGAGAATAGAGGAAGAAACTGAATTTGAACTACTGATTTAAGTTGGTAAGCCACTATCCATCATACTTGAGAAGTCGTGGCAGTCTGGTGAAGTTCCCACTGACTGCAAAAGGGGAAACATAACCCCCATTTTTAAAAAAGGGAAAAAAGAAAGAGCCTGGGGAACTACAGGCCAGTCAGTCTCACCTCTGTGCCTGGGAAGATCATGGAACAGATCCTCCTGGAAGCTATGCTAAGGCACATGGAGGACAGGCAGGTGATTCGAGACAGCCAGCATGGCTTCACCAAGGGCAAGTCCTGCCTGACTAACCTCATGGCCTTCCCTGATGGAATGACTCCATCAGTGGACACAGGAAGGGCTACAGATGTCACCTATCTGGACCTCTGTAAGGCCTTTGACACAGTCCCCCACAACATCCTTCTCTCTAAATTGGAGAGGTGTGGATTTGATGGGTGGACTGTCCGGTGGGTGAGGAATTGGTTAGATGGTCACATCCAGAGGCCACTGGTCAACGGTTCAATGTCCAGATGGAGACTGGTGACAAGTGGCATCC